CTCTCTCTCTCTCTCTCTCTCTCTCTCTCTCTCTCTCTCTCTCTCTCTCTCTCTCTCTCTCTCTCTCTCTCTCTCTCTCTCTCTCTCCCTCTTCTCTCCCTCTCTTCCCTCTTTCCCTCATCTCTTTCTCTGACTCTCTTTCTTCTTCCCTCCTTTCTCTCTCTCCCCTACTTTCTTCTCTCCCTCTCCCTCTCCCTCTCCTGCCTCCCTCTCTTCCTTTCTCTGCCCTTTCTCTCTCCTCTCCTTCATCAAGGTTCTTGTCATTGCCTTGTTACCATCACAGCAGCCACATCATAGGGTTGTTGCGTTAAGTTCCCTCTAGTGCATCCGATACAAAGAAGCCAAATCATTTGGAAGACAAGTGCATCCTCTTTCCCTTTGCATCCTTATTGTATGTGTGTCACTTGTCCGGTCTCTCTCTCCCTGCCCCTCTCTCCCTCCCTCTCACCCTAACTTTGTATTTAAACAAGATTATATATACACGACACGGGAAGAGCAATCACGATGCAGGGACGTACCAGTAAGTACAAACCTGCAGTAGCCTCCCAGAAGCGATCCTCCTCCTATGTCTCTCTCTCTCTCTCTCCATTCTTGTCACACAATTATTTTATGCTGCTTCGTTAACCTTATCGAAACGTCAATTGATAAGATCGATCGGTAGGTTCGGTGTAGGCCTGCAAACGCATCAACAGGCTCGCTGCAGTCCAGATAAGCTTGATGAAAGTGCATGTCTTGTCTTGTCTTGTCTTGGATGCTATTCTGGCAAAGCTATCGATCTGCAAGGAGGCCACTCACTTTTCCTCGCCCCGAACATTGGCCCCACTCTAAGGGGACAGACATCCCCTACAACAATAACAACTTCATACGTTAAGGCAAACGATCGTCACACTCGCCACCTCCAGAGCCTTCGTCATTTTCGTACGTACATCACTAACCCTTGCCTTCCCATTCAGAGACAAAATCCCTACTACCTCTTGACTAATCCTGGCATCTTGCTACTCGACGCAGAGGGAAAGCCGATTTGCATCCCCGCCGCGTTGCCACATCGTGTCGCCATCACAGTACTAGCCTCATAACAGAGCATACATAGCCGCAAACTTTGCGCGGGGGGTTCCTTTTTCAAAACGATCCCAAGTTGAACGAAGCCATATCGTGAAAACGCACGGACATCCTCCACCGACTTATTCTATATAATGTCAGATACAAAAGCAACAGTTTGTCGGCCAGATTCGGCATGAATGGTGCTACTGGCCAAACTGGACATGACATAGCGCTGTGGGACCGTTCATTGCAAGCGAGACAAGCCATCGGCAGATTGTCCTTAAGGACAAAAACAGCAGTACACGTGCTTGCACGCCTAGACGTACCCGCGGTAATCCACCGCTACCCTGCCTGGTGTTTAAATAATAAACGACTCACTAACGATTCCTTATAAACTACATTCCTAATGAATGGCGCTGAGTCACTGTCCATTCAATGCTCTCTCTTATAAACTACATTCCTAATGAATGGCGCTGAGTCACTGTCAATGCTCTCTCTTTACTCCTTAAACGAGACGTCAAACAACTATTAACAATGATGAAGGATCTTCTGCCAACAGCAAAGGATGCATCCAGGGGGGACCACCACTACTTACTGCCGGAAATACTCGACGACTACCTTCCCGGTGTGTAAATAATAGACAATGAGCTGATCAGTACCCTCCTGAGTCACTGTCGATGCTCGATTTGCTACAGTCTTAGGTGTGTAATTAATCAACAACAAACTGATGATCCATTAGGACCAGTACCCTAAACTCGCTGTCAATGCTTGCTCTTCTACATTCTTCTTAAACGGAGGATGTTCTAAACGTGCGAGGGAAGGATGCATCAAATGCCAAGTTCTTACGAGGGCTTAGTACGTCAACAAAATTGACCCATATTGGGGCACGGCCCTGACACGCAAAGTCATGCAGATGATCTTGGACACGATGTGGCTGATATGTAAAAAACAAAAAAAAAACACATTTCATCTATGAACAGATGCAAGTAAATCTCTGACCGCAAAGGATCACCTCTGAGGTGTGGTGAAGGAAAGCAGTAATATCAATCGTCGGCAATAAACTCCCCTAGCTTCTTGTGAACCACAAGTACGCATAATCACCGCCGTTATACCTCCCTCTCGCGCAAACCTATGAAACGAGAATACCCCTCTAGCATCTAGATGCACCAAGAACCACAAGTACGCATAAACACCGCCGTTATACCTCCCTCTCGCGCAAACCTACGAAACGAGAATACCCCTCTATAGCATCTAGACGCACCAAACCGCTGTTTATGAGTACACACCGTTTCAACTGAGGAATGGACGCAGAAGAACACATGGCTTCCAAGATCCTGACACGACTAGTTCCCCGCTCCTCTTCCTTACAAATTCATCACACATGTCCAGCTGCCGCTGTTTTGTAGAAATCAAAATGAACAACAGGGCTTGTAGGAATGAAAAAACCACCACCACAAGAATATCACAGGCACTGAGAACGGGCCCTATAGATGGGACTGGGAAATGGGAAAGAATGAATAAATAAGTTAAAATAACCTTTCTAAGTTTCTATAGCTATACTACGAGAATTATGGGGGGATTCGCTTGAGGTTTAAGGGATGAACAATCGGATGGATGCCTACACCCACAAGTTCATAGTGGGTCATTTGTCAACATTACAGTTGTGGACATGGTCGATCGATCCCCCCCTTGCGCTTGCGTGTCACAGAAGCACTGCGGCTATCACAAAAGGTTTGCATTCCTTTTTCAGTTGAAAATGCGCGCTGACTGTGCAGTGCTGCAAACTTACCCAAGCATAGGTAATCAGAGCACACGTGATCCTGTGCAGTTGGCCCTGTGCATGAGTTCACAGGGCAACGATCCGTCCATCAGCACCGTCTGACATTGCTTCGGGGAAACTGGCTGGACTCTTCACGACCCGAGCGCGTACATATTGGTGACCTTGTTGCCGCCGCACGCGTCGTAGCACCAGACTTGTTGCAAAAGAACACGTGTCGCGAGAAGGCACCATGTTTGAACTTCCGGTTACATTCTGGGCAGTGAATGAATGTCTCAGGCCCTGACACGCCATCAGGCAGTGGCAGGTGCTGTCCTTCCAGCTCTCCCTGGTTGCTCGCCTCCTCCCACTTTTCCTCAGACATTTCCGCCGAGCCTGTGTCCTTAGTGGCCGTAGTAATGGCGTCATCGGTCGTGGGGACAAGCAGCCTCCTCTCTGGCTCTGCTTCTGAAGATGCAATCTCTCTCTGGTCCACATTTTCAACCTCAGGAGATTCCGATTCGGTCCCGGTAACTGAGCCCTCAGACCCAACAGCGCTGCCAACGGAACTGGTGAGAATCGCATGGTCGACCTTGTCTACTTTGGTTGCTGCTTCATTGCTAGGACGGACCTTACGAGCAGAATGTTTCGCCGGTGCGCCTTTTGGTGGCTTTGTAAAAGCCTCCCATTTCTGGAAGCTCCTTTGGAAAGTAGCCACTGCGCCTTCCCATTTTTCCTCCCCTCCCACAGCCTCGGCGGGCTGCCGTCTCACCGATGTCTTGGGTGGTAAGCTCGTCTTGCTGACATCTACTCCTGTCTCACAAACCTTCTCCTCTGCCTCCGGCAGAACTCCTTGGCTGTCTTTGCGGTGATCAGCTTCTTCTACGTTGGTACGATGATCCAGAACACCTCCTCTTTTGCTTTCTTCCTGAGGGTTATCACCTACTCTTGTGTCCTCGATCTCTACCAGCTCACAGGCAGCAGCAGGCTCTCTTCTCCTCACTTCATCCACCACTGCAATGCCTTTTCTTCCGCCCATTTCCGTCGACGTCCTTGATTTCTTTGCCACTGCCTCCTTTCTTTCAGCCCTCTGAAGATCACCACCCCTTGAGCTCCACTCTGACCTTTTCATATGCCTTTCGCCATCATCCCTTGTCCCAATCGTGATCACCATTTTCACAACCTCGTTGATACCGTCTGAATTTAACTCGTCATCATCATACCGCTGCCCTACCTTCCTTACATTCACAATGACACGCGGATGGCGAACATGTGCAAGAGGGGAAGGGGGCACCGACACCGCAGCTGGAACAAGAAGCGGAGACGGAAGAGGAGGAGTGCATATGGAGGGAGGCTCCGGTGATGGACTCTGACGTACATGCAGATCCAAACCAAGAGGCGAAGGCGAAGGAGGCAAAGAAAGCGAAGCAGGCTCTGGAGGTAGGTCCTGAGGCAGAGCAGGCAAAGCAGGCTCTGATGGTTGGTTCTTAGGCAGACAAGGCGAACCAGGCTCCGACGGTAGGTTCTGAGGCAGAGGAGACGCAGCGGGCTCGGATGCTGGGATCTGAACTGCATTCGGTGATGGACTATGACATGCAGGCAGATCCGGACCAAGAGGTGGAGAGGTTGGAGACAGAGGCTGCGAAGCAGGCTCTGGTGGTGCTGGGTCCTGAACCGGACATGGATGAGAAATAGGAAGTTTGGCTGGAGGTGGTGGTGGTGGCGGAGGCGGTTGCCGAGGACGAGGAGGAGGAGGAGGAGGAGGAAGAGGAGGAGGAGGAGGAGGACACCTCGGTGTTGGTTTCACAATCAGAGGCTTACGGCAGATAACAGGTGGTGGAGGAGGAGGTCCTGGGGGTGGAGGTGGTGGCAAGAGATTTGCATCCTGTTTATTCTCAGTCTCTGACTTTTCCTCGCCTGCTCGCCTCTCTATTTCACACATCCCATCACCGTCAGTAACTTGGTCACCCAACCCTACAGACCTCTCTATCCCTTCACCCACATGAATCGCCTCACTGCTTCCGGTTGCTGTTATTGTTGATGTGCTCTTTGCATCCTTCTTCCCATCGACCTGCCTCCATTTCTCGTAACCCTCGTCATCCTCCCTCATAGAAGTCTCTCGTACTTGATCACTGCTCACCCCAGTTGCCATGGTCCTGCCTTCCTCTTCAATATCACTTCCTCCTCCCTCTCCGTTGCATGTCAGTACCCCAGGTCCTTCGGTTGTAGACATTATTTCGGTTCCCGTGGGCTCCGTTACCTGTTCATCCCCATTCTCTCTTGTTGCATTGCAGCTATCAACACTGGAGGACGCAGTTGTCGGCTGGGTCGCAAATGAATCACCTTCAGCACATCGATCCCCTGATGCCAAGACCCCGATGGCCTGTCGTTTGTTTTCGTTCATTATAACCTTATTATTCACCCCCTCTACTCTATCCTCCTCTTCCTCCACGTTACCCTTGCCTGTCCTACAAACCCCTTCGTCGCCACCATTTCCTCCTCCCTCGCCCACTTGCGCCTTCAAATTGTTTGCACATTTGCTTTTGTCTCCACCCCTCTCTTGGGGTTGCACATGTCCATCACCACCCCCCGTCTGCTGAGCCCTTATGACCGATGGGGCGGCTTTTTCCTCCGACCGATTGCCTGGACCACTTTTCTTCTGCGCAGATTCCCTCTCCACACAGCCAGCTGCACATTTCCTCTTCATTGACTGATCTGTGACAGGAGACTTCTTTTTCCCATCCCTCTTCGCAGTATCCTCCACAGAGATTGCGGATCTCCCCAGTCTACCATGGGCTGTTTCATCATGAGCGGGTACATGTAATGGCCCCGTTACAGTCCGGCCATGGCGACCGTCTCCCAACTCGTTTGCACTGACAGCAGTCATGCTGCTGGAGGGTGTAGCCGTTCTGTCCGCTGTCGACTTCCCACAGTTCTGGCTCTTAGAGAGAGGGCAAACAGGCCTTGCTTTCTTTTTGGCGGCAGAAGCCATAGTCTCCCTCATGAAAAGGGAAGATGGTGTGGTGTCCAGCTGCTGTGCACTCGCTTTTAGTGATGTGTCCTGTGTCTCTCTGCCCGGCTGAATACCTTCACGCCGCCTGTGAGGATGAGCGGCAGAAATGGGGCCACCCGCAACGGCAACATCTCTTTTCGCACTAGAGTGCTGGTCAGACGGCAAACGCACCCGGGAGTCTAAAGAAGAGCCATGGAACTGGTTTGCTGAAGACACTCCTGAGTTCTGGTCGGCCGGAGTTTTGTGAGATGTCCTTTGTCGATCTGATTGAGACAGATTACCTTTTTTACCGTCTCTCTGCTGGGCCACAGGTCCGTCGTCCTTTAACTCCTTGGCTCCAACACTGCTGGCTTTTCCACCGCCAGCTTCACAGGCATGCTCAGGAGAGGGAGAGGTGGACTTGGCGACAACGGGCAAGTCCCGGTCATCATCATTGGGAGATGTAATGCTTTCACCATCGGACACACCATCGCCATCACCTGAGTACAGGCCATGCTCGCTTGGAGCAGGAGTTGAGGACATAGACACTCCCTCTGCCACCTGTTTTGTTCTTGCAGCTGTTTGAGCGCGATGCAAGTTGGTGTCAAGCGGTGCTTTCCTCCTTATCTTTGGATTTCTGCTCGTAGTCATCAATGGCAAAGACAGATCTTCAGACATTTCACTTTCCTTCCACAACGGCCGTGAACACGGACTGCCATCTGGTTTCCCCCACTTGTAATCAACCTCCACGCCGCCGACGGGGACCCCTCCCCACTGATACTTCCGCGTGGCTCGTCCATGTTGCTCTGTCTCGAATTTCTTTGCTTGCCGAAGCGCCCGAGCATGCAAAAGAGCCTCCCTCTTCTTCGCCAGATAATCCTCCAAAGCAGCAGGAGGTTTCAATTGAACTGTCTGTGGAGCCTCTGCCTTTTTCATCTCTTTGGATGCCTGAACATTTCCAGGATGAACCTCCCTCTTCTTCGTCGAATGGTCCTCGAGAGCTGCAGCTTTCACCGGTGCCATGTTCGCTTCTTCTGCCAGAACGGTATCAGTTTTTGACAATTGTATGCTTTTCTACCCGAGAACTCGCATCTAATTCAGAGGGGATCATTCAGCAGGTGATAAGGCGATCACGTCCAATCCATGACAAACCCACGAGTGGCAATCATGGCCTGAAACCTTTCCATTCTTCCCTGTGATTCTCAGATCAAACCGCAAATGAAAATGAGGGTAATTGGCATCACGACGACCAAATAAACTGCAAGGGCAACCTCCTCCTATGACTCTCTGAATGAGATTGAAATGAAGGTGATAGCCATCACCATGATCATATCAGAAGAAGAGAAACCTCCTCAAACCTCCTCAGGTCCTTCCCTCCGTTGCAGATGCACACCACTTGGCCCCTTTTCTGTCATCTCCAACACCTGCATCAATGATAAAAATAATCAGGCTAGAAAATTTTCCAATTTCTTCGATTCTCTCATCCTCCTCTCGACATCCCTTCATCTCTTTCTTGCTCTTCATCGAGTAACAACAACCTCCCCCTCCTCGTGCCCTCAAAGTCGCATAGATTTGGCCAAAACACAATAGAAAGGAAAATTAGGAAGTATAATTTAGAGAAAGTTTAGACATATTTCTCAGGGTTCGAAGCACACTGGCCATCTGAAGCCACCGATTACGTAGAACAAGAAAGCCAGTGCTGATAGCTGCGCTATTCCATTTTGTTATTAGAAAAAAAAAAAAAAAGGCAAACCCGGATTAAACCTATGGCTGCCCAACTGTATAGATGGTTTTAAGCTGCTGACGTGAATTTTTTTTTACGCTGAAACAACCATTCGAGCAGCTGCAAAGAGCTTTGCTATCTGCCAATGCTGGATGGGGACTAATGACGTCACTAATTCGAGCCTCTTTAGGGTGGGAACCATCGCTCCATTCGACAATCCCCCGGATTCAGAACGAAAGGGTGTGTGCTTGGACGTTCAGATGTGCTTCAGTATAACGAAGTGCTATAGTGCTTCTGACGCTTTGTCAAAGCCTCGGTACCTTTGCCAGCGGGTAGTATTCTCCTGAGGATACTCTTTGGTGTTACATTCATTTTGTGACAGTTGAACGGAATTTGGACTTTGTGCAGGCTTATCAAACCACAGTCGAGGCTCGTTAACGAGCACTACTTAGTGAAGTACTGGTGGTTTGAAAACGCCACCACAAAGCAGGGCCTCTTGTTTTCCAAAACCGTAACCGATTAACAATAGTAGACTCCAAGAAACCAGTATGCTAGAAGGGCACACCAGGCTCAGCAGATCAGGTTCAGATTTAGTGGTGTTTTAAGTCACCTACTCCCCCTTTTGGAAAGAAACCCAACCGGCGCATTTTCTCAAGCCTGGAGCATTGACATAAAAAGTTGCGGGCCACCAAGCCCACGCGGCTGAATGGTACACCTGTGACCTATCAACTTTAAACAAACAGACCTGAGTTCAGATCGTAATGGCATCAGATAAGGCGAGCAACGGTGAAGGCCGGTCAGTTCCATGATGATATCTCAAGGCCATCGCTGGTTTCAGAAAGCAAACCACGAAAAAAAAAAGCAGCCTGGTGGGCCTACAGGTGACAGCAGGAACAGTAAGTATGATGAAACTTTCGCCACCAGAATTTTTACCACTGTTACGATCCTGGTCATTTCCAAAGTGCAAATTCACAAGGAAAGACGATGCCACCCAATTGCAAAAGAAATGAAAGCACTTGCAACGAGATAGAGACCAAAGAAGATAGAAAGAAGAAGAAGAAGAAGAAGAAGAAGAAGAAGAAGAAGAAGAAGAAGAAGATGTACACCAGCAAGACCAATGACAAATCCCCCTTCTCTCTCCACCTTCCTCCTCCTCCTTGACTTCGCCAATCTTATTCTTCTTCCAAATAATAATAATAACAATGAGTGGATGAACCAGAATCAATATCCGAAGTTCCCTCTAACTACTAGCACAACAACAGGTCCACTGTAGCCAAGGCTTCCCGCTTCTTCCTCCTCTTCACGTGCCAAGGCTATGGGAGACTACTAAGGGCTCTGCCCTCTTCTCCAAAGGACAACACAAAGCAGCTATGTCGCTGCTCATCAGGCCGCCATGCCTGACTCTGCCTCAAGCTTCCTTGGTGCGGCACTACCCCAACTGGGGCCTTCCAGATGCAGCGCCTATCAAGGTGCTGATGGTGTCCACCATGGCCAGATAGGTGCCTCGCCACTCTCCTCCTTTGCCCCCCTTCTTCCTCCTCCTCAGGCTGGGCTGCTCGCCATAGCCAGGCTGAGCACCCAGCTGCTCTCCACCTCCAGGCATCGCTCCAAGTCCAGTGCTTGGGTCTGACAGTACGTCGCCAATCCTTGCACACCGCAAATGAGGAGGAGCAACTTGCTCCCCCGAAGATATAGCGGCCTACTTGCCTCTTGGGCGATGACTTCCTAGGCCGCGCTGCCTCCCAGCAACCGCTACCTCCTCCGAAAGTCTGTACTGGCCATAGACTCAGGCTACTTGGACTGGTACCGGCCTACCTCTAGCCTACCGCTACTGGGCCTCTAAAAATGCCAAGTTTTTGTCTTCTTCTGCTCGGCCTTGAGTACCCGACACTTCTACCACCACTTGAGTGGTACCAGACTACCTGCTACTTCAGTGCTTTTCCTGCTGCTCTAAGTGTCGCGGGCCTACCCCCATTACTTGAGTGTTTCTCCCACTGCAACCCTCAAAGTCACGGCCACGGGTAAGTACCAGCCCTGTGGGGCCTCCCAACGAACAAGTACTGGGGCATGTCACACACACACTCAGGCCGACAAGCACTCAGACAAGCACGCAGACCAGCAGGCATGCACACACACAGACTTAGAAATCACAGCAGACTGCTGGAATCTCAGCAAGGCATACATTCCAGCGGCAAATCCCAGAAATCAGAAGTGTTCTCAGGCGGGTCATTACATCACCATCCAGTTCTGTTCCGAGATGAACCTGGTTATAGTAAATCATCCTTTGAATTTGCCCCAGTTATACTGTGCAATTATACGCTGAGGTGGCCCTTACTTGGTGGCAGATCAGCTCACCTAGGAAATAGGTAAGATTAGCAAATCAATTGGGTACAGGAGGCAAAGTGGCATCTCATAACAACACACCCTTTAGGTAATACTGGTGAAGTCCACCAAAATTAACGCAGAGGATCCGTAGCACATCAATTTAGAGCAGCATCCTACCAGCACTGTAAAGTGAAAGTATTTAATCAATAGAATTGGGAAAGAGATCTAAGTATCTGATAAGCGCAGGGTATAATCAAGTCATTCACATAGCCCACTTTGTGCCCTTGGTGGAAGTCACCCGATAACATAGTTCCAGTTACGACTCTGGTGAGTCTCGTTGCATGCCTAAAACCAGTCTGGGCAGACGCACCTTTCTGCTCAAGCCTCTACGAAGAAATGTGGCTCTCAAGACTTACAGGTGAGCTGAGAGTCTCGTTGAAAACCAGCCGTTGGATGGTTTCTTTAGGTCTTTGCTTGTTGCAAACAGCCCTAACCCGGGAGCGAAGCTTGATTTTTCTTTTTCCTGTTACTCTTCCCAAATAGATCAGCAGATTCAGCAAACAATCCATGCTCTTGATACTTTGCAGAATTCTGAGCACAAAAATTGGTGAAGTCTATGCAATCACAATTTCATGCCAGCCACTGCCCGCCCCCTGCGGCCAGTACATTGACCCATTCCGTCGCCAGTGAGTGCAGCATCACGACCTTCGGATTGCAGCATGGGGATTGGTGGTTTGAACCACCAGTACCTCCTCATGATCCACCATTTAAACAGCAGGTCACAGATTCAAGAAGTTTTCGTGGAGGTCTGCGTGATACAATACCATGTGTGTCCCGCCTGTTCCAACTGCCAATGAATCCACGTATACTTGTCGAACAGCCCGTATGTTCGACCAGGTGTGCACGGTAAGTTGTAGCCAAGGAAGAGAGACTTTGTCCCGAATTATCCTATAACCCTTCCATCGCACAGGTATGTGTTCACGTCTTCGTGTACTTCTGGCTCGAAAAAAGTTACATCAGTCCGGTGCCAATCCAGGAAGCAATAGACGACCACACTGAGGACCTGATTGGGGATCCTAAAGAAGAGTAACACACAGGTGGTGTACAACACACAGCTTTTAACTTCCCTTTTCAGTCGAAACAAGAGGAAAAGCAAAGCTGTGTGTTGACATTGCAGAAATGGATTGCAAGGCCTCTTAGGTGCCTTTAGAATTGGCATGTAAGGATTGCAAGGCCTCTTAGGTGCCTTGATATTGGTATGAGATGTATGTTACTCTTCTTTCGGATTCCCAATCAGGTCATCAGTGTGGTCGTCAACTACCATCAACCAATTCGGTGAGTGGGACAGCACCCCCAGTTTTCTTTTCCACTGTCAAGATTTGAGGTCCTGTAACCACTCCCATTCCACGCCCCCCCCCCCCCCCCCCCCCCCGGGAAAAAAAAAGAAATCAGGGTTTGGATCCCTCAAATTTCCTTCTGCAATTCCGCCTATGCTTTGAGACTGACCATCCACCACACCCTCACTCCGTGCAGAGATAAGATGACGCCCACGCATCAAAGCACAGGTGAGATGTAACTTAAGCAAAGTATCCGCCAGTGAACTCAACTACACAGAATTGTCCTTACACGGTTATGGCTGCCTGCAAGCTCTCGTAGGCATGGTCACCCTCTTCCTCAGTCTCACTTCCCTCTCCCTTACCAAGCTCTCCCTCTATGAATACCTCTCCCGTTCGATCACCCTCACGAATCCGTGCTTGACTTGGCTATGGCTACTCCCTAAGGGCAGCCAGCGCCACAGACCACTACCACCAGCCGAACTCACGTAATAGCACAAGCTGCAGTATCTATCCACAGCGCACTCCTCAATATCCCAAAATAGTGCAGCAGCACTTCCACGTAAGCCAGCAAGTGAGTATGTGTTGACTGCTTCCCCTGCTGGACTTCAGTATTTGACGATTCACCTTCCGGACTGCAGGTGCCGGTTGTAGGTCCGGTGCCCTGCCTCTGTTTGTCCGTTA